ATATGTATTTTTATTATTGATTTATTGTTAAATTAATGAAAGAAAGATTATAATAGAAAAAATTCATTAATCTTTATAAAATATTATACGACTATTAAATCGAAAAATATAAATTTTTTTATTTAATCAAAATTTTTTTATTTAATTATATGATTTTTGATATGATATTGTGTTTATAATTATTATATATCTAAATATAAATTATATTTATTTTGTTGTTACAGGTTTTCTAGTCCGAAACGAAAATTTATTAAAATATGAACTTGCAAAAAGACAACCTGATTTAATGGAGTATATCAATTGGAGTAAATCAAATATAGGATTCTCTCAAAATGGAATAACTGGTGCATTTTTTACAAGAATAAAGTTTCATAATTCACGATATATTATAAATTTTCTAAATGATTTTTTTTTTTTTTAATTTATAGATTCTAAATCGAAAATGCGGATATTTTTATTGTCTTCTCTAGATGGAAAAAAAGAAATAGTATCCTTGACAAAAACATTAGCTGAAGCTGTAATCACAGGAACAATTAAGCCGGAGGAAATAAATATCGAATTACTCGATGAAAAATTAAATTCACGAAAAATGCCGGATCCTGATTTAGGAATAATTTATGGCCGTGTTTGTTCCACGTATGGTGTTTTACCGTGGCAAACACGAATAACAGAATTTTAGTAGGTATTTCATGATCATTTATAGTTATTGTGAAAACTTCAATATTTTTATATTTAATATTTAATAATTTTATTTTTTTATTTCAGCATGTTACCTTTACACATTAGTTTATCTGCAAAGGATTTTATATATCTGTTGGAAAAATATAGTAAAAGCGAACAACGATACGGAAAATAACTGGAAATTTTGTTGTTTTTTTCATTTAAATAAAGCAAAAATATGGTTAATGTATCCAAAAACAAAAAAACAGATGGATGAAGCAAAAAGTAGCTTTTGAGGAGATTTTTTACAAAGACTGAACTTACAATAATTTACAGATACTATTTTATAAGTGATTGTGTGCTAAATAAACTTATAATGGCTACATATGTAGCGCAAATCTTGTTTTATGAGCCGATTTTAACGTATATCGATAAATAAAAATTTAGATAACTCAATTTGAAAAGATTTTCATGGATCAAAGAGAAGATTCCACAAAAAGTTGCAAAAGTGAAATATTTTAATTGTATTTTTAATTATGTGAAATATAATAATTGTCCTGCCATAAAATAATATCATAGAAAAAGAAAAAAAATATTAAAAATGTGATATTTCAGTGCGATTTTTTTCATAATTAACAGCCTTATTAATTGATTTAATTTTAATATACTGATTTAATTTTAATATGATAATATTTTAATATGCTATTTAAAAAATAATTTTAAATATGAAGAAAATTAATAGAAGTTCCATAAATAATAAAATGTCAAAGAGAAAAGTATATTAATTTAAACTCAAGTACAAATAAACTTATATGTATATCTAAGATAATGTTTTAGTAACATTATTGTTTAGTACATTTTTTAAAGTTTTAATTAATATCACTATTCTTGTGTTTTGTAAAAAAAGAAAGATCATAAATATTTATAATTTTATAATTAAATATACTTATACCAATCACTGTATAAAATTAAAATTTTGGTAATTGCATGTCATTTATTAAAATCGATAACATTCCATTGTACATATATAATAGTTTATTGAAAAAAATAAAATGATCACGTGCATATATCACGTAGATATTTTGATAAAACGTCGATAAGACTTTTACTTTTATCTGTGGTATTGTTCTCGTGAAAAATTGCCTATTATGGAATTAAATTCCTAAAATATATTATATTCGTTTTTTCACAAATGTGTCTTGATTATTTGACAAACCTTACAGCTCATTTCTTACAGCTCATAAATTTTATTTATTAAAACCAGAAAGTATATCTTTAAAATCAATGATACGATTGATAATTACTATTTGATAATTACTTAATTATCAATGATTTTTACTTTTTCAAATACTTTAAACGAATAACTTTGTAATCATCACAGATACAGATTCTATTAAATTATAAAATTGATCGATAAAACATTCAAAATTATAATTTCTTCTTAATACTTTTCACTCGATTCTCCTATATATTTAATTTCTATAAATCTTTTCGATCAAATTGAACAACGCTCAAAAATTATTTCTTAACAATTGAGAACTTGGAAAAAAAATGTTGATTAACTTTTATGGTTCGCGTTCATCGACGTTCATAAATATAACGATTTTCAACGAACAGTTTGCGACATTCTTTGCCGATTCGTAAGTTTGACATTATATACCTCTAGAGATGTCAGTTCAGCTTTTTTGTGCACACAAAGCCACACAATGGTTGTAGACGAGCAAGGAACAAACATTTCTCAAGATAAAGCGTGCTATATTGTACTTATATACGTTATACACCTGCGTGAGTGGGAGGCAAATAAAGGAGAATACAACAAGAAAGAACGTATCAAGAATAAAATTATCGTTTTATATACGCGAATATCACGTTATTATTAAGAATTAAGATTTAAATCGTTAAAATTTAATATTTTATTGCTTAATCATTAATCAAATTCTGATTAATCAAAGTAAATAAATTTTTATTTTTTTCCTATGTTAAATATAATATAATATATCATAAAAATTCAATATTATTCCCATCGAATAGATCGTTATTTCTTTTATCGAGATTTCGTACGCATTCGTTTAAATATTAAGTTTTTCTTAACCGGAAGTGGAAAAAGAATCGATATTACAGAAGATGTGCAACAAGTATTTCAACATGTGTTTTGGGAATGGAGTATTACATTAGTTAATTTCTAGAAACATGCCTTTACCATTTTCGCATCTGGTTTAAGGAATATTTAATTATACATATAAGATATGTCGAGTAAGAACGAAATATGTATTCACACCTGTGTCGCGATTATTTCACGAAAACAAGTGACCCAGATTCCATTGGAAAACAAGTGTCTCTACCTGTTGCACTTTATCCCCGATTCATGGGAAAGGTTCAATCCCACAAGTAAAAACACAGAGATAGACGAACTGTTTTTTTTCTGTAATAATATTTGCAAACTGTAATATTTTGTTCCTTAAATTATTACATATTACATTATGTTCTTTTTTTGTCTGTTTAAATTACAATTACAAACTTTGTATTTAATATTTCTCTGACAAGAACGTTGAATAAAATATATATATATATATATATAGAGAGAGAGAGAGAGAGAATCGATAAGTAAAAATTTTAATTTTTATTTAGTTAATTTTTGT